TGGAAAATACTCTGTATGCCAATTACACATGTAGGTACATACACACAAAATATTTTTATGTATGCATACTGTATATGCATCGTATGTACTAACACATTAACACTCCCACTCAGACTCACTAGAAAATAATTCACTGTTAATAACTCATTCTGGAATTGCCCCCTTATTCTGTTGGTATAGTAAGCTGATGCATGACCCCCCCCCCCCTTACCAAAATATGCTCCCACTGGTGGGGACCTGTGCCCCACATTGGGGAATCATTGCCTTAATGCAAATATATCTTGATTTCAAGTAAGGAAATATTTTGATATAAAGATATATTTTATTTTCATTAAAAGTGAAATTTCTTCTATAAAATGTACTTTTGAATGCATAATTAATAATGAAGAAGCTAAAAGGTTTATTGTTTCACTGGGCTTAATATTTAACACCTTGCATGAAAAATTGGGGTAATAACTTAAAACAGTTGAAATCTTTTTCGAAATTTTTTTTTTGATACATGTTTCTTCCTTGCGTTTATTTCAAAATACATAACAACAGCAAATCTGTACATGTATTTATTTGTTTACCATTAAGTCATGTGACACATTGCCTCTTTACATTTCAAGTAGTTGTTTATTAAAAAGTTCTTGTGTAATGAATTGTATAAATGTGTCATGCATATTTTAATTTAATTAATAATGTTATCTATTATGAATATTTATTATTTTTCATACACATAATAGTTGGAATATAATATGCAAGTATTTGTTTATGTGGACTGATATAAGTGTGTATAGAAAACAAATACTAAATTTGCTATTAAAAATGCCATAAAAACAGGAAAAAACTGGCTCTAGTGGAAGAACCCCTTGTCTAATTTTGATGAAATTTTGTGCTGCACTTGGCAGGGGTTCAAAGTACAATATGTTCCTAAATTGGTTGGGGTATTATGTATTGTTTAAGCTGGATCTTGGAAACGCACACAAGATTAGAATTTTAGATTTATATAGATAGATATGGTAACTGAAGTGTAGAAAACTGAAGAAATACCATCTGGGTTGCGGGTGACAAAAGCTTTGAAAAGTGGAGAAGAAAAATTCCTGAAAAGTTCGTATATAATGTGAGGTATGAAAATATCCATCTATGCAAAAATAATTTCAGGTAAATGTCAGCTCTAGCCTTTGATTTAATTTGTAAAAATTTCAAATTGGTATGGACAAGATTAAATTTGCTGTTTATGTATTTTATTTTTAATAAACAACTTTGTATTTTGTATCAGGTTGTTTAAGATTATGACCATATGTTGAAATACTGGTTCTCGTACAATTACAAAACTTAAGCAACATCCAACCTGGTCTGTACCTAGATGGGTGACAGCTTGGGAATAACTAGCTGCTGGAAAATTGGACATGCAGAGGTAAAGTGTAATGGATAATGGCTTGGAATTGTTAATAAGAGAACCGAGTTCCAATTTCCACTGGGTTTGTTATATTTACTTATGTGCAAGTACCTTTGGGAAAGGCATGAATCCACATCTTTCCTCACCCCAGGTTAATTAGTAGGGCTTGTATCAGTTAATCATTATCTTCAAAAAATTTTCTGGCTTCAAATAACCTGCAAAAAAAAAAAAATCCAATCAGATTGCTCAAAGTTGTGCAAGAATTAGTATTCTATTTGTTTAGTTTGTGGCTTAACTATTTTATGCTTAGGTTTAATAAATTGAAAAGACATTTCAGTGTTTTAAAATTAGTAGAATTCTTGAATATAGTCACATAAAGTATTTAGTAATTTAGTAGTAGTTTTTTTTTTTTTTTTTTTTTTTTTTTTTTAAGTTACCTAAGATTATTCAAATTTGAGAACAGTTTTGACAAAGAACACGAAAGCAGTGATTGTTCAAAGTTTGAGAATAATGGTACTTCATCATGTAATTGGAGTTTGTTTGATTCAATTCACTGAAAAGGAACTTTCAGTTTGTATGGGCAGGCTTTATTGGAATTTATTTTTGAAAATCTTTATGTATAAAGGAGTATCCAAGGATTAAATGAAATTTCTGAGGGGGCAAAAATGCTGATAATTTATTTCTGCTTTCATCTGTAAATAAAATAGCCATAAATATTGATAACTTGGTACTGTTAAAAAAATGTGGTCCTAATAGGGAAGGAAGTGATGTTTTGTGTATCATATTTGAGTTAACCTGAAACTCAAATTTTAAGAGTAGTAGTTTGTTTTATTCTAGCAATAAAAAGTTTGGATCCTTGTGCTTACAAAAAGCCTCATTATCAAAAGTGTGTTTTTTTTCTTTGACACTACTTTTATTTTAACTACCATCATTCCTCTGGAAGGTTTGTTTTTAAAAAAGTGATGATTAGAGTTGTAATAAAACCTAAACGTATTAAAATGAATTTATACATTTTTTTCTTTTGAGAATTTATAACAAAAATAATAAAGAGTATTTATTGGAATGGTTTGGCAATCATTGGCTAATTGCTAATCTATTTGAATTTTATAAAATAACAAATAAGGATTTCCTTATAGTGGGTTCATGTATTTTAATAATTTAGTAAATGTTTATAAATTTATGAATAAAAAATTTCATATTTATAAATTAGTAGCTGATAAATTAGTTTTAATTGTTAGTTTTTAGAATGTTGTAAATATGAAATTATTCTAAATATCGTGTTTCAATTCAGTGTAAATTCTTAAAAACAAAAAATATATAAATTCACTTTCTTCATATGTTTTGGTTTTGCTACAGTTATCTATTTTTTTTTCTTAAAACAAACATTGCCACTGAGTGAAGGTAGTTAAAAATAGTGGTGTCCTTGGAAAAACAAAATGTTCTTTTGATATGTTATTTTTTTTAAAAAAACAAAGGTCCATATTTGGTAAAATTTTTAAAATTAAAAGTAGAATAAAGCTTATAAATGTAATTGTAGCAAAACTTTTTGATAAATCTTTTTACTGCAGTCATCAGATTTTGTTTTGGTATGTTACGTCTTAATTGTAACAATTTAAATGTTTTTGGTAAAACAAATTCTCAATTCTAAATTCTTTTTTAATCAAAAGAACTTTCATTTTAGGCTAATACAAAAAGTATTATTGACTGACATCAACATCTAGGTCACCATATTAGACTTGTTGGAGAGGGCATAGTTTTTTGGTAAAAGTTACCATTTGTTCAAACAACTTTGCAAATTACGTGGAATTATTTCTTACAAAAGGAGAGAAATGGACCTTTTATGAGAAAATGGTTCTATCTGAATTTCTGGAATGAGGAGTTACCATTATTTACATTCCAATTAATATTCTAAACTTTGTTTTTATTAATACGTTTCGGTCATTGTGCTCTCTGGTCTTCAGGGGTTTATCGATCCGAGTAACCTCCAGGGAATTCATGGGATGAGGAGTTATCATAATTTACATTTGGACTATTGTCCTTATAGTTCTTACTTGTAATACACTTTGTCTGTTCTGCCCTCTTGCTTCCTTCAGGTGTCTGTTGATCCATGTAAGGTTCAGGAAATTTAGAACTTAACGCTTTATTTAATTTATATGGATAGATTGTTCTTGTTCTGCTGTTTATGTCTAGGTATGTTTAGTATTGCTAACCAAGAGATTGAACTCACAATTACTGTGTCACCAAATTTACGAGAACCATTGCTTTAAACCTATAGGCTATTGTCCTGTGTGACAATCCTGAGTCTAGAACTTATAGCCTTAAATCTTATTTCTTTGTTTGATAAATAAAAACTATGTAAAAAGAAAAATTATAAAAGATTACAAAAAAGCCTACTAAATGAATAAGATTTTTTAGATCATAATTAATAAAAACAAAAAAAAATAGACAAGTGTATATATAACATAATACTAATGGACACACATAAGACAAGATGTTTAAAAGTTATATTTATGGAAAATTACACTGCACTGTATAACATATTATATCATAATATAACTAAATTGTTCAGTATAATTTCCCTTTGAAGTAAATGAGGATCTTTTTTGAATGGCATAATGATTTAGTAACAATATCCTTGTCTCTTGTACCTTGTCTATATACAATTTGTAAAGCTTGAGTAAATTATGAAATTTATAAGGCTGTGCTATAAGGCTTCTTTTATGGCATAACTCTGGTGTTTCTTCAGGTGATTAGAATTTTGAACCGAACCCTTTTTCGTCCACCGGGGTAGATTGTTCTAGTTCCACATGTCATACCTCTTCAGGATGTCTCAGTTCTTCCCTGCTCTCCAAGTTTTGATTCACCACTGCTGTGGCCTGGTATTGAGCTCACAACTTGTTAGTTCTAGTCACTGGAGCTAACCAATGTCATTATTCACTGGTCCATGTGTCTTCAACAGCCGAAACATTGTGAATATGGCAATGAAGATGAGGATAACAGTTCAAATAATGTAAATAATGCATGGATATACTAATGTTTATAATTTTTTTTTTTTTTTTTTGTGAGCAATGATGTTTACTCTGTACAAGCCCCAAGAGCCACTTCAGATAGAGTAAGAGGCCCAGGGTTAACCCTAAAATTGAAGAATGAAGTGATTGGGGAAACATTTTCTTGGGAGTCTGTTCCACAAAACATCCGTTTGTGGGAAGAAGTTGCACAAATGCAACTTACAAATGGAATATAAAGGAAATGAGGGTTGTTTGCTACAAAGCATGTGGCATGGTGAGTCTTAGTTTATTATTAGATTGGGTAGGGAGGAGACTTATAATCGGTTAACTGGAAATATCCTCTTTCCTAGTACCTTCATTACTCTTTTAAAATAATGTTAAAGATGCAAATTAATCCTTGTTACGTCCCCATTCCGATCAAAGGGTAACCTAGAAAAAGCTTTGAGAAGGGTGTCAACAATCTCTTATTTCTTGTTTTAGCCTTTTAATTTGGCTTTTACTCTCATACTGTTTAGAGAGGTATAAATATATATCTATCTATTTCTCTTCCATGAAAAATGATCATTTGTTAATTAACAATTGTGATACATTTTTTTTTTTTTTTCCTTCAGTGTCTCCTCAAAAAAGCTTGGATGAACAATCATACGTAGACTTTCAAAAGTTTCTGGACAGACTTGAAGGCACGACA